AATTAATAAAAAATAAATCTCTAATTTTAATTAATTAAAATAAATAACTACGTAGTATATCTTTTTCTTAGTTTTTATGCATAGTTGATTTGAAAAGCAAAATTAACCTTTTTCATGCATCAAGTTTAAGAGTTATATCAATCTGAGTTATAAAATTAATTTAAATTTAATATAGGTTTAATTTTTAATTTTTTAATTCTTTCAAAATTAACATTTTTTAGAAACTAAATATATACTAGTGTTAACCCCGTGCTTTGCACGGGCTCGTATATATTTTTTGAGATTGTATAAATATAATTTTAGTTATTTTAGTTTTTTAATAGTGACAAAATATATAAAATTCTACAAAATTAATGGTCATTGAATTTAGTACTAATAAAAATAGTTTTAATTAATAAAATATTTTAATAAAAAGTGGATTAATTACATAATGATACATAATTAGAGAATGTATATGTGTCATAATGTCACTTGTCAGTTATCACCCTTCAACTAAAGCAATTTTATTTTATTTAGTTTGTTAAAAAATATTTGTAGCAATAAAATAAATAATGTAATAAGATAAAATTTTGAAACAAATTGTTTAATTAATAAATATGCATATTTGATTAAATTTATATAATCATTTTTTGAAAAGTAATAAACTAAAATAAGTTGTCGATAGTATAAAAATAATTATATATATATATATATATATATATAATGGTGTATATTTTACAATGATGAAATATATATTTATAGAATTGTTAAAAAATGAAAAAGTTTTATACAAGTGTATTCAAAGATCTTTTAAAAAAAATCAAAATGGACCAATGAATTAAAATGCATATATCCACATCATTAGTTAGTGCACATGTGGATGCACATGTGGCATGCCAACACTACAACAACTCAACTCTCTTTTACATATATACTAGTATTTTGACCCGTGCGACGCACGGGGTTAAACAAAATTTTTGTCGATTTCGATTTTTTTCAGTGTAATATATTCTCCGGAATCAAGTAAATATATTTCTAACACGATTTTTAATCAATGCACAACAACGACAACAGTAGAATAAATCATATTTGAAGAAATGAAATTGTACTCGAAAAAACCTTATTTAATTCCAATTTTTTGAAAGACTTTAGGGTGCACAACGTTTTTGGTATGGTTGTAAAGGTTTCCATTGTTATCTACAACCAATATTTTTAATCATGTCTTTCCCTTCATTCGTGAAAAAGTAACATAAAGCTAACCATGACTAAATACTAAATTGGTTAAAAATAATACAACAAAAGACAATGTTTGACCTTAACTTTCGTTAATAGTCATAGTAAAATATAAAACTATTGAGAATTATTTTCTCTAGAATTTCTTAGGTAGTCTTGAATCAGATGATTCCAAATTTATTCGGAGTATGTAAATCTTTTTCTCAATTGATTTCATGAAACCTCAATTGCAGTGATAATGTTCTTTCTCAACTTCTAAATGATTAATCTTTTATCTTTACACAATTCAGATATTTAGTCAATGTTCTTCAATGATATAGTCAGTAGCCCCTTTTTTAAAACTATTTTGTGGTTTAGGATCCCCGAATATTTGATTTAATTAAAAAAACTAAAGTGTTATCCAATTGTCTTCAACAGCTACATTTAAATCGGCTTTGCATAAGGGATATGAAAAATTCACTACCATTCGACAAACTTGAGTGCGGGTGCTAATAGTGCACTATCCTAAAAAAAATTCATGTTCTCTAATAGGTTCGGATAAGTGAAGTCCACTATAACTCTTGAGGGGATAACTTATTTCAAGAATCAAGAATGCAGAAGGATTTAATTTCAATGTCAGTAGTTTCATCAATCACTTATCTAAATTTTCCATCTTTGACTTTGACTATTCAATTAGAAAAAGCTTATGTGTCCTTATCTGTGTAAGAGAGTGTAGATTAATGCAATCTCATATTTTTGATCAACGTATAAATTTTACAATACAACTACATTTGTGAGGATTTGGTGGTAGCACCTACAATTTCCTCTCTCAAAGTTATGAGTAAAACTGAAACAGTTTCCTCTCTCAAAGCTATGAGTAAAACTGAAAGAATTTGGATAAATCTTCTTTGAGTACAAATGTTTTCCCTGTGAATGGTTCATTTATGAATTTATTATTGGAGAACCTCATTACATCTCTCATTGTGTAATCCAATGTCTCAAAAGAAAATATATGCATCGTAGATGATAAATCTCATATGATTATACTTACTTATTGGATTAGCTCTACTTTCGGAATCCATTGTTTATTGTCACAAAATGAGCACTTGATTAGCACCAAAGGGATTAAAAATCTCAACTCTCCTTCCCCTAGGCAAAAGCAATGCTACAATATAGTTGGATGCGACATTCAAGACAACCTTACCATTTGACCTTAGAGAAGCAGACAATGACTCTCTAGAGAAATATTTTTCCAGTTCCACCGTAACCATGGACAAAAAAGAACTCCCTCTTTCAGCTATCATGACTTCCATTATTTCATTAGATATATTCCACTGATCTTCATTTATCGTAGATAAATATCCTCTAAGATCAAATGACAACTTTTCTTAGTCATAGTTCAACTTCTCTATCAAAAAACTATTTTGATATCTATTAAGTTGATTGTCATCTCCAAATGGCATGCACTTGAATTTATTTAAAGGTCCTCCATTTCAATTAAGCAACTTTTCAATCTCAATTACACATAAATTCTTTAGGTCTTCTCCTGAGATTATAAGCTCTGCAAAAAAAGAATTATTTGTTTCTATGCAGTGCTCAATTAAAGAGTTTTGTTTTCATATAATGTGTTTCAGATGGATTAATACATTAAAAAACTATCTTTATATTCAAGTACCTTGATTCCAAAATATTCTCATTCAATCAAATAAAATTCCATTCACCAAGAGTTCCTATAATTTTTCAAAACAATTTATGGATGACTCATGGTACGTGGACAAACAACATTTTAGCATATTTCTAAATCCTAACTTAGCAACCTCTTTTATACCTTCAATAAATTCTTTATCATCGGTTAATAATCCCAATGCTTCACATGCTACTTCAAATATGCTATGTAGAACATTGTTAACTCTCATCAAGCTCTAATAGCTTGTACATCCTCGCAGGACAGTTAATAGTACAACTCTCTGGTTTTCGTAAGCACGTATTGTAGTCTGCCTATTGATGACCTTTGTTACATCGGAACCATTTCCGCACTTTAATTTATGATTGTACACAAAAAAATCGGGAAATTCTTTGCATACATCAAATTTTATCTCGCATTATATTGTGTATTGGAAATCATCCAAGCTTCAAACATTGAAGCTTTGTCAACATTTTCTTTGACAATATCTTTTAGCTTTTTTTGATCGCTAAAGGTTACAAATTTTAGTCATGGGAGATGAAAATTCAATCTCGAGTGCATCCACCATATTAATTTACGTAATACTTTCTTACATTGTTTATAATATATATCTTATACATAGAGTTAGTTAATACACAAAGATAATTGTTTTATTATCATCTTCAAAGAAATTAAAACATGTGTTATAGAAGATAGATCCATATGTCTCTTATGCACTCAAAAGCATGATGAATTGTGTAATTATTCCCGGATCGGAGCACTGTATAGATTTTTTTGGGAAAAAATTACTGGAAAAATTAAATATTTAATTCAGAATAATAAAAATACCATTTCTCACATCATAAAGTACATTCTTTCTCGAACGTGTTTGATGATGCAAGGTTATAGCCGATGACGACCTCTCTCTTTCTGTATGCGTAATAACCATCATATGTACGGCAAAAGCAATACATATGTACATGTTTGCTTTACTACCTACCAATAAATAGAACCTAATCCCACTGAACACTACCTAAGAAGGAGGATTAAAATTTATCAAAACGATATAAAATTATTGCTCTATGAAATAAACATGCCCATAAAAATCCTTTTTCTTTTATATATTTGTTTCTCTTTTTTCAAAGTTGGAAAATCTCTCTAATTAGTATTAATTCAAAGTAAAAAAATATTCATATGTAATTTCTTTTAATCCTACCAATTTATCGGTTCTTAGAATAAATTTATTTATTTTGATTATTGTGTTTGAATACGAGTACTTTTTTCAATTTACAAATATATTATTTAATTTAAATATTTTCTAACAATGAATCAAGATATAAAAGTTTTTTAACGCGATTATGCCGAGAAATTTGTGTGTAACAAATATGAAATTTAATTTTCATTGAATAAGTTTTTTTGTTAACTAATTCTTTAAATATAACTTGATGACATGTCATTTTGACATGTTAAAAAAGTTGTCTAATAAACGTGCCACATGTCACAATTCTAGAAGCCCAACTCTCAAATTTTGTATATAAAGATTATATTTTTAAAATTGAAAAGGAATTTTTATACAATCTTTTTTTAATTATGAAATATTATAAAGGGTTATGTGGACTTGTAACAAAAATCACCCTTGCCTGGATGGCTAGAAATTCAACCAAATGTCTAGGAGGTTTTGGGTTCAAACCCCCATAAAGGCATGTTTTGGAAAACAATCGCAAGATTAAATACGTGGCAGATGACTTGTTGAAAAAATGCCAAGTAGGATATAGGATATAGGATATAGGATATAGGATATAGGATATAGGATATAGGATATAGGATATAGGATATAGGATATAGGATATAGGATATAGGATATAGGATATAGGATATAGGATATAGGATATAGGATATAGGATATAGGATATAGGATATAGGATATAGGAAGTTAAATTGTGAAAGTAGTCTTTAAACATAATTAGCAATTCTAGGGCCTGTTTGGGATTAGCTTTCGCTTCTCTCCCTCTGGATAGCGAGAAAACGAGGACGAGCAAGGAAGAAATTTATGGTGGCACAATAGACGACGAACTCACTGCAAACAAAGGCCAGGGATCGATAAATAGAGAGTACGGAGGCAAGATCAATCATGGGGGGATCAGAGATCGAGTCCTAAAACCCAGGGAACGAGGTAACCGGCTCAATCCCAATTTTGCACAAAAAATCTAAACCCAATGGAAAACGAATCACTGAAATTCTGGATGAAGAGAGATTAAATGAGGAATTAAAACCTAAGAAGAAACAGATTTTGTATACAGAGGTGGTTGAAGGATCGGATAAGATTGATTATGATCTTATGCCATATTCAAGCTGATGAGATTAATGGACAGTGTATTACCAAAATCACTAAAGATGATCTGATTGAGGATTTGGGGGGTCTGGGATCAGGCGATTGTTGTATACGTATTAGGAGCTAATCCTCCAGTGGAGATCATAGATGAATTTGTGCATAGAATTTGGAAAGACTACAACATCTAAAGAGGTTTTTTCTTGAAGGAAGGGCAGCATATTATGAGTTTCAAGAAGATTGAGGGAAGGGATGGCGATCTCAAACGAAGATACTACTATTTTGATAATAAGCCAGTGTTTTGAAAGCCTGGAGTCCGGGATGTCAGGTGGATGTAACTGATGAGCTAAAAGATGTACCAATCTAGGTTCAATTTCCAAACTTGAACATGAAATATTTGAGCTTAACAGGACTGAGCAAGCTAGCATGTATAATTGGTAAGCCCATGAAAAGGGACAAAGCTACAACTACAAGAGCTAAATAGGGGTTTGCTAGAATTCAAGCTGAAGTTCAGGTGCAACAAGCTTCCCCTCAGCTTACCCATTTTGCTGATGAAGAAGGAAGGGTCATATCACATGTAGTGGGGTATGAATGGAAACCCACCATATGTTCAAAGTTTAACAGAACGGGTCATGGTGCTGATGTGTGAAGGAAAAAGCAAGAAGACAAGACAGGAAAACCATTTGTTAAAACGGCAAGGTTCCCATGACATGGGATGACCCGGGAGCACTCCGGTGCCCCGTTTATAAAATTGACGGTTCCTACCCCCCATAAACCCCCGGTAAACCCCCCCCCCCACCACGCCCCGACCCGAACACCCCCCACCCCCTTCAATTGCACCCCACAAGTTGATTTTGACTTTGGAGTCAAATTTTGACTCCAAAGTCAAAATCAACTTGTGGGATGCAATTGAAGGGGGGTGGGGGGTGTGTTCGGGTCAGGGCGTGGTGGAGGGGGGGTTTACCGGGGAGGGTTAGGGGGTAGAAATCGTCAATTTTATGAACGGGGCACCGGAGCGCCCCCGGGTCATCCCGCTAAACACGGCTTCGTCGGCATGCTTGGGAGTATTGATTGCACGCATTGGGAATGGAAAAATTATCCCACTGCGTGGCACGGTCAATTCTCCCGGGAAGATCATCCCAAGCCTACCATCATGCTCGAAGCTGTTGCTTCAAATGACTTGTGTATTTGGCATGCTTTTTTCGGTGTCGCGGGCTCGAACAACGACATCAACGTTCTCGATCAATCTCCTGTTTTTGACGATTGGGTTAATGAGACCGCACCGGACTCCTCTTTTGATCTTAGAGGGACGCTTTACAAGCGTGGATATTATTTGGCCGATGGAATATATCCAGATTATTCCACGATTGTCAAATCTCTCTCCGAACCAATGGGTCTTAAACGCAAGACCTACAAAAAAGCTCAAGAGGCGGCGAGAAAAGATATTGAACGAGCCTTTGGGGTCTTGAAGAGTAAATGACACATTCTAGATCGTTCGTCGAAATGTTATTCTCAAACAAAAATGAGGAATATCATGTACACATGTATTATTCTTCATAATATGATCATAGAGGATAACGGGACTGCGATTTGTCAATACAACCCGGACGAGGAGGTGCCTATGTACGAAGAAATCACCGAAGAAAAGAAACGAAGAAACCGCCAAGAAATTCGAAGCCCAGAGATTCACAATGCACTAACGGGGGATTTGATCGAACATATATTTAGTTGCTCGAATAATTAGTGATTTCTTTGTACTGTTGTTTTTTTTTGTAATATTCTTTTTAATGAATGTAATTTTTTTTATGAATGTATTTTTTTATGAATGTAATATTTTTTTAATGAATGTAATTTTTTTAATGCACTAGTCTCATTGCGATTAATTTAAATAATAAATTAATTTAAATTTATTAATTTAAATTTAGAAGATGTATATTTAAAAATATAAAAATGAAGGTTTGAAGCCCCAGTTTGAAGCCCCGGGGCTTCAAACCCATTTTCAGTGAATTTTTGGTGTAAGTTAAAGCTGAAGTGTCAGAGAGAGAAAGTTTGAAGCCCGGTTTGAAGCCCGGGGCTTCATACGTATTTCGCTCTTAGGAAGACAAAAGGGCAGCCGCAAGATTGATCAAGAGCTTCAAATCAACGGTGCTTAGAGGCGTACAGTTGGATCAGAAAAAAATTACCCTATATTTTTTTTCCTTTTTTTTGAAAAGTGAATTCTTTTGCTTTTGTATATAGTATAGATTAGTCTTACTTTTGTTTTTTTCAATTAAGAAGTTTTTCATTCATAGTATTTTTACTAATTTTTTTTCAATTATACAAAAATAAAAGACGCCAATTTTTATCACGGGTATACCCAACCCGATACCGAGACTCAATGTGCCCAAGTCCAGAATTAAACTTCAAAATGCATCGAGTAAATAGGTACGGATTAGAATCAATTTTTTTAAAAAGAGTATGATCCAGAGTATAGAACATGCACTATATGAACCCGTCCGATTTCGACCTATTGATAGGCCTATTTGTGACTTTGTAATTAACTCCGTACTTTAGGTAGATTAATAAGTGCTTTGAACCGTTATCAAAGATGAAAAGTTGTTTTTCTTTTATTCTTTTTTCAAAATATTGACTCGTATTTGGCCTATGTCTACCACTAGCGTAACTGAATGCGTAACTGAAAAAAAAGAGAATTTCTCATATTAAACATTTTATTTTTTGTCCAAAAAAAGTCTTTATTGGTTCATTTTCATGATACGAAAATTAATGAAACATTATCTTTTTTTCACTAAAGCTCATTTTTCTCTTTTTCTGTTCATTAATTTTATACTATTTCTTTTATTTTAATCAAAATTAAAATAAAAAACATAATAGAAAAGAAATCAAATAAAGAAAAGGAAAAGAATATGGAAAGAATACTCTTATAGAATAGGGAAAATTAAGTCATGAAGGAAATCTTTTGCACATTGCTCTAAAAATGTTATTAATATATAATTAACTATATTATAAAATTCTAAAAACACGTTACTTAATATTCTTTTGGTCCTGACATATTCAAAAATATAAAAACATTTCTAGACAAAAAAAACAAAAATATTTAATTTGGTAAATGAAGTATATGCTAATTTTTTATTTCAAACACAAATATTTTTTTATTTTTTTAAAAATGTAGGTTTGAAAAAGTAAATTTTCATAATTTCACACACAAATTTTTTCATTCTCTTTATGAAAAAAAGAAAATAATAAAGAAAAAGGAGAGGGGCGTTACGTTGGTGCCCATTTCCAAAACCATAGGGGCAGCAGAGTTATTCATCTAATATTTGAAGGATATTCTTGTCTAGAGGGCTTTGGCGTAGTAATATCAGAACCATGAGAGACAATGGAGGCGTAAGTTTTAAAACCATGGGGGGTGACGATGCATATTTACCAAAGCACATGGGGTGTTGGTGCAATAAGCTCTCCAAAATTAATTCAAAGTGTTCGAAAACGGAAAGTGATGGAAATGGGGGCCGGGGTACCCAGGCCCAAACATACGCGATGGGCTCGACAAGGTTTGCGCTCGGTTAAGAAGCTGGATGCTCGGCTAGGAGGCACGCCCTCGACCACGCCCTGAGTAAACCCACCAGGGGCTAGTTTAGAGTCCCCTCCGGCTCGGCCTATCATAGTCAATTCATGGCGACTCGCGAAGACGTGCGGTCATATATAAAATTTTTTGTTACACACCGGACGCTTAAACAAAATAATATAAAATTGAGAGGAAGGAACCTAGAATTTGAGAATTCATGGAAGAAAGGTTTCCTTTGGGAGGAAAGAGAATCAGTGGCGGATCCAAGAATCGAAGAGACTGGGGGCGAGAATATTACGGGCGTTTGAGGGTAGTGTCCCCCCCACCCCCCCTCCCCCGTTTAAAAAAAATGAAAATAAAAAATGAATAAATTTGAACACATGCATGAAGCATCCAAATAATTAATGAGAATATACAAAGAAAACTTTTTAAATTTTGATTATCAGACTATATTCTTTTTATTTCAAAATTTTCACTTTTACCTTCTTTTCATTTAATGATAAATACTTCATTTTCAACTTAAAATTACTTATTTAAGTACAATTTCATTTTATTGGGTGCATTCTGTCTTCTTAACGGGGGCATTTAATTTTTTGATGGGACATAACTAATATTTTTTTAAAAATTGGAGTACTATTAAAAAAACTCTAAAATTCATTGGGGGCACACATGCCCCCAGTCCTATGGTAATAGATCCGAGTGAAGAGAATATTTATTTTTTTGAATGTTATTTACTCAATTACAAGGTACTATCTCTTGATACTATTTTTAACATAATGACGCACATAGAGTTAATGCTTCTGTATCTGCTGAGACTCGAACCTGGATAAATCTCTACATGAATTTTGAGTAGTGAGCTTCCTACCACTCAAACCAGAGAGGAAGATAACATTAATTAGTACTCCTTTTAAAGAAATCAATGTGGGTATGAACAATTCAAGATGCACCATCTATTTCAATAAGGAGTAATTTTTTACTCCGTAATTGTCTGAAAAGGTTTGTGACTTTGCAATTAACTCCGTACTTTAGGTAGAATATTAACAAGTGATTTGGACCGTTATCAAAGATGGAAAGTTGTTTTTTTTTAAAATTCTTTTTTCAAAATATTGACTCGTATTTGGCCTATTAACCCACGCCAGCTGTCGTTTTTTTACCGCTGGCGTAACTGACCGCCTATAAATGAAACGCAAAATCATTAATTAATTAGACAGTACTAATAATCAATCTTAGCTGATTCTCTTTAATTAGTTAATTAATCACCGCATTAACTAATTCTGGTGACAGAAAATGGGCGACTATTGTAACGACATCTGCAGTGCCTTCCTATGGCCGCCTGGGGTTGTCGCAAAGCACTATCCTGACAAGGTACCCTACTATTTTTATAGTATAGCAATGCGGCAGTGTGCTGCTTTTACGAATTTAGCTTCTGCTTTGAAAAGAAGTTGTTTTACACTGTTTAACATGTCAGTTTTTGTTTTTTTCCACCACTATTTTGTACATAGAATACTGTTTCGGAGAAACAGTTATGAGGTGCTTTTGCTTTCAGCTTTTGCGGAAATCACTTTATCCATAAGTTACTCACTCCCAAACACCCTCTAAGAATTCCAACTTTTTTCATATGTCACATTTTTTTCAATATGAAAAATTTAAGCGAAACATAGTTTATAACTAAAATGTGTTTCGTTTAAAAAATACTCCCTCCGTCCCCCTAAGATATTCTCATTTTGACTTTTGGTGTTTTTTAAGGAGAGTTGAAAAAAGGTGAAAGTTTACCATAATACCCTTAATGAAATATGGGTGGAATGTATTAAATGAGGTGGGTGAGGTGTAATAAATAAAGTAAGTGATGGTACTTGTGGTATTTTAATTGTTAAAAAATGAAATGAGAAGATCTATTGTGGACAAAGAAAAAGGGCTATTGAGAAGATTTATGGGGGACGGAGGGAGTAACAATAAGTTCAATTCAAAAGTATTTGAATTGGACGAAAATATAAGCAAGTCATAACGTCAAAATCATATATGTAATATTGGTGTCATTGAATGAAAGGTGTTAGGGGAACCTCACTCGGTGTACACCAAAGTAAAAATAGACACTCAATTTCTATGCACGCACAAATATTGAGTGTATATGTATGTGTCTATTTTTGTCTTAGTTTACAATTGGTGTATACCAAGTGAGGTTCCCTAATTATTTTCTTCATTGGATAGATCCTCTGAAAAAATTTACAACATATTATTTGACAAATACGGAGTAAAAACTCACGTACAAAACTTTACAAACAAATTAGGCTTTACTATAGAAGGCCTTAGTGTAATAATAAAAAATGTACCCAGTAAATCACTATTCTCTTTTTTTTTCCCTCTTTTTCCTAATTTCCTAGTCATTAGAAATAGATTTGCATTTGTCTTAATTAATCAAATATATATATTTAATGTTGTGGGTTTATTTTATATGATAAAAAATCCAGTTCGCCTACAACGTTTGCCTTGGGCTCACTATATGTGGATTCATCCCTGGAGTTTTATTTGCCATTTGTCTGGTGAACAAAGCACACTCCTAAGAAGAATAAACCAACCTCACAAAGCTAAAGGGGTAATTCTCTTAATTTCTCTATTATTATATTCCAACCCATCCTTTATTTTAAGAAATGTTGTTTCCTACTGTTTCATTTTCTTCTGCCATGCATGCATGGTTGATTGCACATGAATAAATAATTTTAAAAAAAAAATTGGAAAATTGAGGGGTTGAAATATTTACAATGTGACACATGTAAAATATTTCTTTCGTCCCAAATTATTTATCAATATGACTTTTTGCGGATAAGCTAGTGATGAGAATTAGACCAACAACTATGGCGACAAAAAACGGATAATAACGATAAATAATGAATCTCGAAGTATTTCTATTACTTTGAGTATATACTGTTTCTCACTTGGTTTACAACGGAGGATTCTCCCACTATTTATACTATATTATGATTACAAACATAATGGGCACTCATCGTGCGCATAAAACTAGCCATTATCTCTCGCACGCCGATCGTGGTGGGCTGGTGGCTCTCCATCTCAACCCTCAATCTTTCCACGACTTGGTGCCGTACAGTCTTCCTTCGTTAAATGTTTGGGCCTATCGACGGGAACTGGGCCTTTTGTTTCCTATTTAGCGGCCCTTGTTCCGCACCGGTCCAAATCGCTCCTGCGGACTGGCCGTTCACTTACGTCTATTGGGCCCGAATATCTATTAGCTAGACAAATTTTAGTTTTCGATCTACTACTCATATTAATAATAAAAAAAGGTTACTCCGTACATTGTATATTAATAAAATGGGTTTTCCTTTTTTTATGCTTTTGACAGGAACAAACATGAAGTGGTCGTGTAATTTCCTAATTATTGTTTCTATTTTGTACCTGTATTATTTCTGTATTATTGATTGTACGTTTAATTTTACAAGTATCTCATTCCACATTAATAGGGAAAAAAATATAATTTTAGTCTCCACAGTTGAACAAATATTGGATCATTTCAACAAATGCATGTGTGGGTGTGTGTCTAGATTTTGGTTCTGGTGAGAATGCAATCTTAGGAGAGAAATGAAAATGAATCTGGTGCTTTAGATTGTGAGATCTAAGGGTCAAGATTTCATCAAAATTAGATGTACCAAAATGGTTTGAAAATACATCACGTCGAAATGCACCAAAAGCCTTCGAAAAAACACTATCTCAAAATCTGAGCGCAGGATGCAATCTGAGCCGCACGATGCATCAGATCCGACGGCTAGATTTTATTCTCATTTTTCTCCACAAGGTGCATTCTTACGGGAACCGGCCCATATATATATATATATATATATATATATATATATATATATATATATATATATATATATATATATATATATATATATATATATATATATATATATATATATATGGTTGGGAACTCCCCAAGATGCAATGCAAAAACAAAAACACACAAACAAACAAATCATACTGCTAAAACATACTTCCTCCGTCCCAATGCAACCTCAATCCAAAGAGGGTTTTAATTATATGCTACTAAAACATACTTCCTCCGTTCCATAAAGTCATTCCTGCTGATTGAAAAAATACGCGCCTTTAAAATGAGTAAATTTGATGTTATTTTCTAATTATGACTCATGTATCCTACACATATCATCATACTCTATTACGGAGTATAAAATAAAAGCAAAATTAGAAAGTAGCACTAAAATTACTTATTTTAAGGGTGCATATTTTTTCATACTCCCTCCGTCCCAAAAACTCTTTCCCCCCTTTTTTCACTGTTTCAATTTTTTTATCGTTTTTAGTTTCAATTATCAATATTAAATTTTAAAAGGTTCCGTTGCTTTTCATAATACAAGTTTTGTAAAAATTATTGCAAGGAGACTTGTGTAGTTTTACAATTTTTTTTAAAAAAAATTATTAATAGGACATGTGTACCCATAAAAAAGACGTGTAGTTTCACTTATTTTTAACCATAACTTATATACTAATTAAAAATTTAAAAATGTCTCGAGGTAGTGTTGTGCGGTTTAATATTTTTAATACTACCTCGGGAGAAGAAACAAACTAGGAGTAAAACATATACCATATCCTTAAAATAGGAGTTCAAACTTACTCCCCTAAATAGGAGTAAAACATAATTAATAAGACAAAAAATGCTCACCACACGCACATTGTTTTTTAAGATGCATGAACCTATAATTAAGGAGCACAACAGATTTATTTTAAGATGCATGAGACTATACTTAAGGAGCACGGCAGATTTATTTTAAGATGCATGCGACTATTTTTATTGCATTCATGTTTTTTATTTTCTTCATTTTTTTCATTTTTTATAAAAAGTTAAAATAAAGATTTTAACTTAATTAATAAAACAAAAAAATACTCCCCACATGTGTTGCATTTACGGCCAATACCAGAGGTAAAATTTGGCCAATTTCACAACAGCATGCTACCGACATCGAGGCCCACCACTGCAATCGTCGTCGAAGGTGAAGCCCACCGCCGCCATCGTCGCCGCCACATACCTGCCACTATCACTTGAATCTCCACCACTGCCGTCCTCTGCTCCGCCGCACCGCTACAAACGAAACCTACCATTGACGCCTTTGATTTTTTGTCGTCATCGCTGACGATATCATTGCTATATACCATTATCAACAACACTACCATCACAATCTACACCATTGTCGCCACAATGCCACATTAATAGTAAATACAGTGTCAAAGAAAGACATCATAATATCAAACATGGCACCATGTAATGTCACATATGACAATATATAATACCATAGATGCCATATATAATACCACATATGCGCATATATAATGTTACGGAGTACAATGTTGCACAATGACATAATGTCAAACCAAATCCAATGACACTGTGTAGTAGATACGTGAAATGTAACTTAAACTCCTATAAGAGTCAAAACATAAAACCCCCAAAATAGGAGTTGTTGACTCACCGTTTGCCACCGCCAAGATATGCCACTTTCATCACCCCTTGCTCATGTTTTCGTCGCACATTTCCGGCATCACTAACCCCCACAGGTGTAGTGCCATGGTGCTACATGGAGAAAAAATAATTCATACAGTGTCAGTCGAAAATACAATGCTAAAAATGACAACATACAGTGACAAACATGACATTGTAAGATGCAAAAACATAAAATTTTAGGTCAATCGAAAACAAAATATCAAAGATGTCAATGCACAGTTACAAACGTGGCTCTAAAAAATGCCAAAAGTTCAATTGTACTCGGTGATACATGTGCATCCATCGAGTCCACGAAGTCATTAATTATGGGAAGAAGATAATTAAAATAAACAAAACACAATCTCTCCATTGTTAGCTCTATGCCAAAAAAAAAAAATCACCCCCACCAATAATAATAATAATAAAAGAATCTCAATAAAGAAGAAAGAAAACAAACAAAAAGAGTTTGGATTGAAGAAGTAAAATAGCTAGCCATATATTGGCATCCGCATGAGGTTATCATTATTAGTTAAACTTTGTTAGCACTTAATTTCGGCTAAAGAAGTCAAGATGGGTGGTGTTCCGTTTCTTCTCCAGGCGGCTAAACAATTGTAAAATAAATATAGTTAATTACTCCTATTTAGAGGAGTTTAAGTTTGAACTCCTACCTTGAGGATATAACACATGTTTTACTCCTATTTAGGGGGTTTTCTTTACTACCTCCGATCCGTCCAAGTTTCTATATTCATCTAGATTAACTCAAAAAAAATCAATGTAGATAAATATATTAACCTCAAAACAGGGAGTATACATTAACCTCAATTGAATCTTTTTGAACATGTTTCATTGAAGGGTTGAACATGTTAAAAGTTCAATTGCACATACACTAATTTGTTTCTGCAGGTTATTAAATTTTTACATATTTATCAAAGCTAGTGTGCAGTGTTTTTAAAACAGGTAATATAAATATAGCTATATAATTAAAAATAAATATATTAGTTTATTCACAACTTGATTAATTATTCTAAATCAGAAATTACCTTTGTCTGATTCTGGTTCTGAATCATGCATTGAACATATTCTTTCAGATTTGGTAAGCTTTCTCATTGCGCGGGAGAGAGGACTTCAGGTATCCTGTTTTGAATCCCATATTCTCATTAATTGAAGCACAACAAATTAATTTTATAAAAGCTATTATGAATTTTTTTTATTCAAAACTCGAAACTGCATATTTTCAGTGCATAACTTAACTATGTGGTTTTTTAAAAAGAAAATTTAAATTTTGGTGGCTTATTCTTCAGTCCAGGATTTTTTTATAGAATTTATTAAAAAAAAAATTTGGAACATTAAGAATAATACTTCAAAAACATGCTTGTTATATTAAAAACAATTTAAATTAAGTGGATGTGATTTACTTACCTTAGAGAATAAGAATTGAATGCTAGCTTAGCTTTGAATGCTCAAAATCAACTTCAAGGAGGAGTTGGTTGGGAGATAGAGTAATAAATGTGTAAGGAGGGAAAGACTAATATAGTTGGCATGCCTTATAGTGCATTAAATGAATGAAACTAAACCCTATTATTAGGATAGGTTAGTGGCTCAAGGAGGAATGAGGTATTATTATTTACTGCACAGTGTAAAAATCTTACTAATATAACGTGGGTGTGTGTGTGTGTGTGTATATATATATATATATACACATATATATATATACACACACACACAGAGAGATATATATTACACAGTACACAGGGATACATTAGCACATTTAATAATCTAATTAGTAACATAATTATAACATTTTCATTTTAAAAAATGAATATACAAATTTTTGACAAAAATTTATATACTTTTTAATATATGAATGCAACAAATATTTATTTTATTTAATTTTATAATTTAAAAAGTTTATAGTAATGATTTCATGGGCTTTGAAAGAACTCAGATATGGGCTTCGGAAAACGGGTGTTCGTGTCACAGTCCTATGGGAGGACAATGCTCTTCTCTCGAAATTACACGAATCGTCTAGTTTTATGAAATATGGGCTTTGATTGATATCACATGAATTACATATTGGGCTTTGTAAGATGCATTATATCGTGGATTGGGTCACTCATATTTTTTTTAATATTAATTTCGAAGTTTTTATCAGATATGAAAATTTAACACACTGTGAAAGATTTTTTATTATTTTAAATATTGAATATATACGAAATACAATCACATTGAACCCCGCCATCCGTAAATTTTAAGATATTTTAAATGTAATTAAATTTTATTGAATAAAACGTATTATTTTTAGAAAATTTTTAAAAATATTGTTTTATTATTTTAAATATAATTAAATTTTAAGAAAATTGTGTTTATAAAAATAAAGACTGTTATTAGAGGCGTGTGGCTCTAGGTGTGTTTTTTAAACTGACTTTTTATTGATATATGTGTGGGTAATAAATGTCATTTAAAAGAAGGGATTTGGTTACTTATTGCATTTTTACAAGGCACCAATATCAAATGAGTCTTTATTTTATTATTTTCAATTAGGTGATGAGTAGAACATTTATTGCACCTTGGGCAGCACAATATTCTCCTTGGGCCACACACTTAGATTTTCTAGTTTCTTTAAATATCTTTATCATTAATGAAGCTGTCAAAAATGCTTAGTAAGAATAGATCTACCCTCACATTAAATGATAACACTCTTTACAAAGCCATCACAAATTGTAGGTGATTTTATCCGATAAGTGTTACGGAGTAATTTCAAAGTTATTATCAGATACTCCGTATAAATGTACACACCCACAATATCTTCTTTAGACACTATAACAATACTTTTTATATTTATATTTAAAGTAAAAATAACATTTTTTATTTTATAATTAGTTTTTTTTAATTCGAACATGCACGCATTTTGGAATGTGTTAATTTTTGATTAAAGTATAATTTCATTACACGGTACATGGATTGGGTCAATCATATTTTTTTTAATTTTAATTATGATTTTTTATCAGATATAAATTCTTTAACACACAATGTCTTATATATACGCAAAAAAAAGATATATTTTTTATAGAAAATTTTGTTTTTAAACAAAAAGGAATGTTTTTCATTGGAATATGCACGCATCTTGAAATATATAAATTTTTTGATTAAAGTATAATTTTTTAATATTCATTTAACGGTAATTGTTAAAGATTTTTTATTATTTTAAATATTGAATATCTATGAAATACAGTCACGTTTGAACCTCACAATTCGTAAGTTTCAAGAACTTTTAAATGTAATTAAATTTTATTTAATAATATTTAATTCGGAGTATTTTAAGAAAATTTTAAGAAATACGGAGTATGTTTTATTATTTTAAATATAATTAAATTTTAAGAAAATTATGTTTATAAAAATAAAGACTAACATTAGAGGCGTGTGGCTCTAGGTGAGTTTTATAAATTGACTTTTTATTGATGGGTAAAACTATTTGTATCCCATGTTTTGTACCCCGTAGCTTTGCACTAACACTTTATATTGGTGTAAAACTAATTTTTTAATGCATCAACACTTTATGTTCTTGTACATTTTTGTTAATGCACCAACACTTGTGTCGGTGTAAACTATCAAAATATTTGTGTATAACTGCGGTGTACAAATGGGGTACAATTTATGGTGTTAGTGTAGCATAACCCTTCATTGATACGGAGTATATGTTTGGGTAATAAATGTCATTGAAAAGAAAGGCTTTGGTTAACTCATGAGTTTTTACACGGCTCCCATCCCAAATGATAGTCTTTATTTTATTATTTTCAATTAGGTGTGATAAGTACAACATTTATTGCACATTGGGCAGATATCATATTCTCCTTGGGCCACACACCTAGATTTCCTAGTTTCTCTAAATATTTTCATCATTAATGAAGCTGTCAAAAAATGCATAGTAAGAATAGATGTTCCCTCACATTAAATTATAACACGTACGAAGCACACTCTCCGTATACTTGTACACACCCACAATATCTTCTTTACACACTATAAAAATACTTTTTATATATTTTTTTTGTTAAAATTAGAAAATTTTTTTTATTTTAAATATAGTTTATTTTATTTGGAACATGGAAGCATTTTGGAATGTATTAATATTTTGATTAAAGTATAATTTTTTTCATTACACGGTATATTGATTTCGTATGTATTAGGATATATAAATTGAATACTTTAATTGTAAAATTCCCATTAATCATCATTTAATTTAATTTTTATAGAAGTGTGTTTATAAAATTAAAGACTAAAGTATTAGTTGAGTTTTATGATATCCCGTGCATCACATTGCATGACCTTTAATTTAAAATTTTAAATAGGATGTGATAATTACCACATTTATTGCACCTTCGGCAACACACTAAATTGTGCACGCCATTCATTCCTTGGGCTGCACTCACTTAGATTTTCTAATCTCTTTGCATATCTTCATCATTACTCACATTAAATGAGAACAGTTATTACGAATTAAAGTTATCACAACTTGTAGCCAATTTCATATCACATTTATTACAAAGTTAATTTTGCTATATATTATATTAAATCACTTTATGTTTGTATAATAATAATTATAATTTATTATTAATATATATGTAGCTAAAAATAATCTATTTTAGTAATCAAATATAAAGTTAAATAATATTTTTACTTTATATTGATTTGATGGTATTTCTTATGTGAATGACATTTCAGGCGTCTTTTATTTAAAACAAATTTTAAATAATTTAAATTCTGAAAATCATTGAATATCTATAAAACAAATTAACACCTACGAAATAACAAATAACAAAAAAAACCAAAAATAGAGGTGGTTCATAGAAACAAACATTTAAAGTACTCTAGGACGTTGCCTAGGAAAAGCAGACCACCAACGAAATAAAAAAAACAACAAAAACAGAGGCGGTTCATTTGATGAATAAACACATAACAGTTGATCGATGTTCACTGGCTTGGATTATCCTTCTTGCTTTTCTTGCATTGAGTTGTTGAGATGTCATCAAAAAGCTCTCTTTTCACCGAATCAGTCTTGTCCAAGTCATCAATCCTTCTATGCTTCTGGTTCACACTCTGGCTGGAGCTGGGGTCATTCGAGGCAATCTAAAAAAAATTAACCAAATTAAGTAATGTTTTACAAATGTTAACAATCTTTTGGTTGGATATATCAAATGCGTAATATACCACTTCATGAACCTTCTCACTTAAATCCTCAATAGATGCCCATAGACCCTCACTTTTTTCATCAAATCCTTCCTCTTCACACTCAAGTAACTCTTCAAATCTGCTCATTATCTTTGCATCCGTGACCAACGATCTAACTCCAAAGGCTCTTGGTCCACTCCAGTATGGACTCCCAAGTTCGGCTTTCAAAATGACGTGAAACAACCCACGTACACCTAGCAAACGATTAAGCTCTGTCGGAAGGAAATTTGGGTCCATATTTTTCTGAAGAAAAGAACAATAACAAATAAGTTAGAATTATTTGGTTATTGATTATATTGACGATTAAGTAATAAAATAATAAAAGAATATTGCTTTATTTCAAACCTCAAGCATAATTTCCCTAAGCACAAAAGCACTTGCACCCAAAATTTCCTTGCACTCCCTATCCCAAAGGACGAATGAAGCATGACCGGTGGAATCATAGACCCGAACATTGACCTTGAACCTAAGACACAAAGTATTGTTATTTTTAAATTTCAGTACTAATTACATCAAAATTTATAAAATTTTAATTATTTTTAATTGATGCTCACCTGTACACTCCATGCAGCATGGTAGTGTTACATCCCGTACACCTGAACTTATCACCATCAGGGACAACCTTTTTGTTGCATTCGGTGCATCCCAAATACCACCAGTCGCCCGAATCATTTATTGAAGCAATCTTACCAACAATCCAGTAGGGACCGGGCTATAAAACATCAAACACAAATTTTAAGACTTTTATTTAAGACTTTTGAACATTAAATTTAGTTTTTTTAACACGTCACCTTTGTAGTGTCCAAGAGTGCTTTGATCGTGGTAGTTTTGATAACACCTTCATCCCCATCAGCTCCAGCGCTTAAAACGATACTTCCAATTGTTCCAACGTCATCCACTTGTAGAGGTAATCTAGATACATAAAAATTTTTAGATGAGGAGGTGTAATCATCATATAAAATTAATTCACTTTTTATGTTTAAAAAATATACCTTGTCCTAAATTCTTTGACCTCTGGAGAGTTACCATCGAAAAGCATCTTCGTAACATGAAACGCAGAAGATACGGTCACAGTACCTATAAACATACGATGTAAATATTATATATATCCATCATTAAAGTATTTAAATCACAAAATAAAAGAAATAATTTACCCATATAATGCTGTGGTTTGCAAAAGCTCAACAACATGATCACCGGTTCTTGAGCATTTTGGGTTAAACAATCTAAAAAACGATCCACATACTCTCCCCATAGAGTGCATCCCAATCGATTTCCCCTATAGTATCATTTCATTGCTCAAATCTGAATAAATTATATTTCTATTATTGACATTATTCTCTTATTTATATGCATACTCATGATCCTCAAGTGTGACTTCCATGAATTTTTGATCTCCGGCTCTAGTAATGTTCGTTTGAACCTTAGTTCGGGCAACAATCTTTCCAATCACGTCTGCATAAATATAGCTCTTAATATAAGGCATTTATATGATTGATCTAAAAACTGTTTTTGATATAAAGATGTTTAGACATATTTTATAATATGGGTTATAAATTTTCATATTAATGAAACTGTTTAAAAAACTGAACAAATTTTCGAAGGGCTCAATTTTTTTAGAAAAAAAAGTGTGGTGGCAGATTCATTTATTGTTTCATTCATACGAATTTTAAAGAAATAAATATGCTTAACCTTTGAAAAAGAAATGAAGAAGTTTTAAAATTTTTCTCTATGAAATAATACCAATCAAAACTTGATCATTCAAACATGGTTGGCTTTGAAGAACTGGAAATGGTTTTAAATCAAACATGATCCGTGGAAAATCATTCCGATTCAAAGTTTTCACTTCAGTATCTCTGAAAAAACCCAAGAGCTTATCATTTGCGGTTGTTTTCAAACTTTGATAGTTGTCGTGAACATGCACATTTCGAATGGCATAAACACCATCCTCGGTGATTTGGNAAATAATACCAATCAAAACTTGATCATTCAAACATGGTTGGCTTTGAAGAACTGGAAATGGTTTTAAATCAAACATGATCCGTGGAAAATCATTCCGATTCAAAGTTTTCACTTCAGTATCTCTGAAAAAACCCAAGAGCTTATCATTTGCGGTTGTTTTCAAACTTTGATAGTTGTCGTGAACATGCACATTTCGAATGGCATAAACACCATCCTCGGTGATTTGGCTTTCAAACTTCTTTTTTTCCGAGCGGTTGAGATGTGCATGAATCCTCGTTCCCTATAGAAAAGGTAGATATTATGAGTATTTGAGTGACACATTTGCAATTTGAGTGATACAATGTAAGTAATGCAATTGAAAAAAAAATGAAATAAGTTCGTGAATACAATACATGCTCATCGTGAAAGACGATCTCCATAGAATCTCCGCCTCTCGCCCACCTTGGAACAAAGTAGACACGAATAGCCCTTAACTTGAGGTCCAAGTTGCACGGGTGTTGTCAAGCTCGGAAATCGGAGTAAACATTGTCCTAGAATTTCTTTGAGTATTTTCGGCCATCTCAAAGAAGCAAAAGAACTCAAATATGGTGGAAGAAGGAATTGGTGTTACCTTCAAAAGTATTCACGCATAGTCATTATATAATGGCTTTGTGAATCAAGTATTTGGAAGCACATTAAATGCTTAGATTGTGCAAATCTTTTTAAGTTCTTGATTTGATGTAAAGGGTGGCCTAATTGAGATGTATCACGTGGCTCAATAAAGTGATTTGTTTACTTTATTGTGTCTCACACCTAGCATGCATTAGACTCTAAAAATAGTGTCAATAATGGACTTATTTTCGGCCCAATAGTAGGCAGCCCAGCCAGCCCAAACTGTAGCACCAAAAAGAGCGGGAACACTGTTCACAATGCTCTCTTAGCATTGTATATAGTTAGATATTAATGTCCATACGTTAAACTTGTGGATTATATAGAAGAATCATTCCGAAAAGGCATAAATTACTTGCCCAAATATATTAGCACAAAGCATAATGGCATTAACTTGAGGTTATAGAGCTGGATACCATAGTCCTAAGGTGAGGGGGCAAATGCTTCATTTGCTCATTCTAACCCAACACAATGGAAACATATAATTAGATATTTAGTGTTTTTTGGTGGGGTGTAGCCATGTGGGTGGGAATGGAGTGATTAAGAATGGGTATTAGATATTCATAAAGTATAATTATAACCAATTTTTTCACCCAAATAGTATTATTTTTTAGTCCATTACTTGAATCAACTTATGAAGATGTGGCGCACACATTACTATTTTGTTGCAGTAAAGATAGATTACATTTATATGCTCATCTTAATATGTTGTATACTTTTATTTGAAATACATTTTAGATACATTTTCACAATTAAAATTAAAAAAATAAAAAAATAGATAATTAGACAGTTCAATTAATAATTGAACTCTACATTTCAGGACAAAACATAAACAAATTCAGTTTATACACTCATTCAACCAAATGCACCTCCACCAAACATGATCTTAACGTACTTCTAACTTTCAGAGTTTCAGTGACGAATTGAATGAAAATTGGGGCACCATCTTGACAAAGTAAAATGCCAGATACAATACCATGAATTCCTTGAAAAGAACGGAGTCTTCTACAAATCTGTAGAACATAGATTGCAAATTAGTACTCCGTATGTGTTTCCATAAGCTACATAAGAAAAAGAAGCACAATGATTAAATACTTGTAATCGTGACACAATGTACAAATGAAAAACATAATTATGGAATTGAAACTATTTGCCAAGAGGCCCTAAAATATACTATATCAAAATGACACATTGAACTTTCCTTGCTTCTTACCTTGTCTTCTCCAAACTTATATTCTCTCTATAAATTGTCAAAGCAATACATGAATTAAGATGTCTATCTATGCCATTATTATCCCAGAAAAAATATAAATGGAACCAAAATTGACCAATGAAATTAACCAAAAATATTTGATCACCCATCATACACATAGGAAAGAAACAAAAAATGAACTTCAAATCAAGAATGAATTGAGAAACGAAGCACCCACCTTTTTTGTTTGTACTGCCAAATGACCTCATGCCACTCAAATTGTAACCAAAAGAAGGATTTGCCAAGTGGTAAATAACTTAATTCATTCATGAAACTGCACCCAAGAAACAAATTGAAGAAAACACTTTACACTGAAAAACAGATAGAAATATGAGTTCAGCCAATAATATTCAAAATGGTACATATACTCTCTCTGTATCTATGTGTGTGTGTGTCTCTCTATACATACTCACACACGCACAGATATATATATAAGATCATTCCGATGAGAATAAAAGATGCTAGAATCAAGTCGCCTGAATATATTATGCTATAACATAAACTACCACATAATGCTTTATTTTCAAACTCAGATTACCATATCTTAAATTGAATATTTTAAAAAGCTTATGTGTTTTTATATAATAGATCACAAATTTGTTCTTATTTACTCTTTTGGTTTCATTTTATTGAAATACATTATTAGACACACTTATATTATTTTTGGTTCAAAGATTTTGAAAACAAAAAGAAAAGAAAATGAGATGGAAAAGAAATTCTCTTGTTTGGTTAGAGAGGAAAAGAAAAGAAAAGTGGAAGGAAAAGAAAATGAGAAGGAAAAATGTACTAAGAGTAGGGAAACAAAATTCCTCCCATTTTGGTGAGGAAAATGAGAGAAAACCATTTTCTTTTTTTTTTTCATCCGAATTCCTTGAACCAAACATAGTGTTAAGGCAGGTATGTAGAAAATCAATATAAAGCACATGTATAGAACTGAAATAACAAACATGTTTACTTTGTTTTTGAAATAGAACATTATAATAAGAATAAAATGTTTTATAGAAATATTTAACCACCTTACATTATCAGTTACCCCAGAATGATTTATTAGAAGTGAAATTTGCACTAAATAGGACTAAAACATAATGACTTTTCTAATGTAGGACTTAAACTTTTTTATTCCCTAAATAGGACTTAATAATGACCTTGTGGTAGGAATAATGTCTAGTAATGATAGATATTTAGTTGAATAATGACTTCTTGATAATGACCAAAGGTCCTACATTGGGAAATAAAAACATATGATCCTACATTGGAAAAGTCATTATGTTTTAGTCCTATTTAAGTAAATTTCTCTTAATAGAATCATTTAAAATTAAATAACATGACAAAATGCATGCAAAAAAGTAATGAGATGATTTAGTCAAGTTCCTAATAAACTATGGTTCCAAAAACTAATAAATCATCCAAAGACAAATCAATACATAGAAAACATATTAAAAAGAAAGCAAACTACAAATTAAAAGCAAAACAGAGCAAAAAAGCTCAAATAGGGTGTCTAAGAAAATAGTAGAATTGGAGTACCTGTTGTTGAAGTTCAACACAATTAGCAAGATTTGGGCTCAATTGCCTCTGCATTTCAAGGATATAATCTCAGTGTAAAAATGAAAAAAAATGTATGCTAATAAAATAAGTAAAAATAATGAGAAGCTAAAGAATGTATTAGCGAATAAGAGGGAATTGAATGGAACAGAGATGAGAAAAAAGGACGACCTGGTAAATCTCAATATTTCAATGACACGCTTTACAACGGGCTATTTAAAGAAATTTAAAAACTAAATAAGAACAAAAATCTCACTTATAGCGGATATGACATACTTTTTTTGCAAGAGTTAACATTTTTTCTAAACCTGTTTTTTGCAAAAATCCCACTTACAGAGGATAATAATATTCGTTGTAAACTTGAGTAAGTAGTCTCAAACTTGAGTGGCAATTATCCGAATCTCAAACCTTGCACTATACTCAACCTTTCAATCTTGTAGTGTAAACCCTATCAAATAACATCGTAAAGACATCTAAGCCACCTGCTCCTCAACTTGATAGTACTTCAAAATCTCCTATGGTGCATCAATTGAGGAGGCAAAGACAAAAAGATTTATACAGAGATATGATGAAGAAATCTTTTGTGTATTGTCCCTGTCCAGAAATTGAATCCTTGTACTTAATTTGGTAGAATAAAGTTACGTAGATGTTGAATTTGAGTCTTACTGAAAGCTTCTCAATAATAAGATTGCTTCACCATCCCCGCCATCAATGAAAAAGGGAATGCAATGGAAAATATGCCCTATAAAGCCATAAGATACACCCTGTAGTACTACCTAAGAAAAAATCAATGCCTTGATCTTTAGCTATGTATCCAGAGTACTGTGGTGGTAAGCAAAACAGAAGTTTTTATTTTGATAATACACTTGTTAGATGACCATTTAAAGAACCTAAGAGTGAAATCTCAAATTCAAACCACTTCATAGGCGTACATGAAAAAAGATTATTAGTACAATGTATAATTTACCAATGAATAGATTCTGGACAATATAGTAAAAACACGAAGTCTTATTGCTGGCTAGCATCAAGCAAGTCAACTTCTGCCCTTGATATTTTTATTTAGCACTTAACCCTCACTATATACTCAACTGGAACCATCATGCATAAAAGGGAAAAATCAATTTACTTCAGTAGCTACCAACCATAATTCATTAGAGACTCAAGAATTAAAAAATTAATAGCTCAAACAAAAAGAACTTGTATATAGTCAAGTCATCACCTCATTTTAAATTAATAGCCCAAAAAACCTCTATGGAGTGTTAATTTGACTAAAATCTGAAATAGATATCATCACTCTAGGTATATAAGATGAATAAAGTTCTAGAAAGAAAAGTATACATGAAAGGATGAAGAATGACATCAATTTCTAAGAAAGGGAGTTTACATGAACAAAGCCTCCATAGCAAACAATATCTCTTGAATATCAATAATTGTTTCTTGGCGCTTAATATTTTAAGTTGTTCTTCACCTAATAAGTTGGAAAATCAAAGATATAATGAATCAGGGAAATAATAATTATATCAGAAAGCTCATCTCCTCAACATAATTTGTTCAAATTTGCACTAAACAGCAGTAAAACATACGGAGTATGTCATTTCCCAATATATTCTGTTAAACTTGCTGCTCTGAATGTTCTACATGTTTTCAAAGCTTTATAAAAGGTAAATCAAATTAAAAGCAAATCATGAGAAGTTCAAAAAGAGAAACACATTTAATATGAACTCTTCACTTCTTGACTGTTGAGAAAGATGGATACACTGGGAGAACTTATAGGAAAAATCATAAACATGACCCTTTACTTCTGAATACATGTCAAAAACACAACTGACCCAGAAAACCCCGAAATGGATAGTCCATTTTAGGGATATAAAATACTGGATCAAACCCAGTGGCCCTGACACTAATGTTCTGAGGCATGGTCTATTGAAGGGGACAATTTTGGTGGGAGTAGGGATGGGCTTTATGGAGTTGGTAGGATGTAAAACAAACACCCACTACACAAATGCATTTTGTACTTCATATATATGACGCTATACTCTTCTGAAATAGAATATAGAGTATATTCCAATCACAAACAGATTGGATCATTGAAATTCATTTGCATTATCAATTTAACTTTAGTGTGCAAGTGTACAGTGCATGTCAAACACTTCTCTTTACTTTGATCCTGGCCTGGACACAAAACTGTTTAAATCACAAATTTATTGTGTTAAAAAGTAATGCCATTTATTTGACTAACCTTGCAACGAAGCTGAACAAAGACTGCTGCACAATTTTAATACTCCGTAGTTTGTCCTGCCTCTCCTTGTGCTTGGTCTTTTTATTGTTTCACAGTAGTAGCAGCTACAAATTAGTTTTGTTATTTATGTTTGTTTTAAAAAAGTGGCAAGAAAGGGTAAAATTAAACATTAAGTGATCTGAGTAATATTCAAAACACTTGGCAGTACTAAAAGCCATAAAAAATAGGTGTTCTTAATGAATGAAACAAAAATCTGTTTTTAATTTTCAAGCAAAAAATATTATAGAGTAAAAACATAATTGGTTTCACTAATCTCATTGTTCTTGTGCAATCAGGAAAAAAGAGTTCTTTAAATCACCTAAGCCTTATAGTTCAGTTCAAATAAAAGGTTACATTTATAAGCTCCTATCAACATATATACAAATTAAAGAAAATAAATAGAATCAGCATGAAATGAACACCATAAAAAGAGACCACAACAAATGGAATTTCAAGTTACAAATTCATCCACAAAGACAGTAATGGACTTTTTGTGATTTTCTTAGACACAGGAGACTCGTGGTTCTTTAGGTGTTGGCGCTCAAAAAAATCAAGGGATTGGGAGTTCATTTGCAAGTGGTCAACCGGTTAGATTCAAAATGGCCCGGTTGTTCACTTGAGGGGGAGTGTTAGAGTTTATCCCACATCGGAAATTGAATAGAAAAGTTATCGGTATATAAGGTCTTGAGTTGAAGTAATCGATTGGATTCAATCTTTTAATGTGGATCAACCCGAGTGTCTTGTTACCCAATCCAGTTATCCACACCCAATCCTAAATTTATCATGGTATCAGAGCCAGTTTTAGCCCACCTCGTTTGTCAAGGTGTCCGTCTAGACGTTCATTCCTAGCGGCCCGTTAGTCTTTAGCCCAGTTGTCCGTATGAAGTATGTACCCAACGGCCTGTGGCCTGTTTAACACGATTGCTCGTCTGGAAGTCCATACCCAGCGACTCGTGGTCCTTTAGGTGTTGGCGCTAACTGGATTGGGCATTAAGACACTTGGGTTGAACCACATTAAAAGATTGAATCCAATCGATTACTTAGTTCAACTCTAGAGCTTATATACCGATTATTTTACTCTTGGATTTCCGATGTGGGATGTACTCTAACACTCCCCCTCAAGTGGACAACCGGGCCATTTTGAATCTAACCGGTTGACCACTTGCAGATGAACTCCCATTCCCTTGACTCTTTTTTTTGAGCGCCAACACCTAAAGGACCACGAGCCGCTGGGTATGGACTTCCAGACGAGCAATCATGTTAAACAGGCCACAGGCCGTAGAGTACAACCTCCATACGGACAACTGGGCTAAAGACTAACGGGCCGCTAGGAATGAACGTCTAGACGGACACCTTGACAAACAAGGTGGGCTAAAACTGGTTCTGATACCATGATAGAATTTAGGATTGGGTAGAGACAACTGGATTGGGCTATAAGACACTTGGGTTGAACCACATTTAAAAGATTGAATCCAATCGATTAAATAGTTAAACTCAAGAGCTTATATACCAATAACTTTTCTATTCAACTTTCCGATGTGGGATAGACTCTAACACTCCCCCTCAAGTGGACAACCGGGCCATTTTGAATCTAACCGGTTGACCACTAGCAAATAAACTCCCATTCCCTTGATTTTTTTTTTGAGCGCCAACACCTTAAAGGACCACGAGTTGCTGGGTATGGACTTCCAGACGAGCAATCGTGTTAAACGCGCCACAGGCCGTTGGGTACATACTTCATACGGACAACTGGGATAAAGATAAACGGGCCGCTAGGAATGAACGTCTAGACGGACACCTTGACAAACGAGGTGGGCTAAAACTGGCTCTGATACCATGATAGAATTTGGGATGAGTATGGATAACTGGATTGGATATTAAGACACTTGGGTTGAACCACATTAAAAGATTGAATCCAATCGATTACTTAGTTCAACTCTAGAGCTTATATACCGATTATTTTACTCTTGGATTTCCGATGTGGGATGTACTCTAACAATGATAATATCATTTTTTAACATAGCTTCAATATCGTTCTAACTCTCGTAAGATAAACAAAAGACAGCTATACAAATACACCAATGTAAATCAAGGATAAAGATGAATGCAATTTTTTGAAACTTTTATTCAATTAATATAAAATAATGTCGCTTCGTTCTTCCAAGTCTAGAAATGATAAGAACAAAATAAATAAGAGTCAATGGAGTAATTAAGCCAACAAATTAAAAACAGATTTTTAAACAAAAACAATAATTTGTCGCCTGAAATTGATGAAGGTGGGAATAAACAACAATTTATACAATCAATATCCTAACCAAATTAAGCATTAATTAATAGCATAAAATAGAGATAAAGAAGCGAAAAAAAGAGACTCAATCCTTACAGCTGAAAATAAAAAGATCCAATTTTGAACTGGCACAGATTTTTCCAGAGTCAGATGAAGAAGGAGAGTATCGACTAAAGAAGGAGAAAAGCAATTTCAAATGAAGAAGCAATCTATTTGGGGAAAAATAAATTAGATACTTACCTTTGGGGAAGAATAGGTGCGTAATTGGTGAAGAATTGGGGAACAACATGCCGAAAAACTCAAAATTGAATAGAAATTGCTTCCGAATATTGAAAACAACCCTAGATCTTGGATCCTTCAAAAATTAGGTATACGATTTCTCAATGTAATTAGGGTATACAAATATAAATTAGGTATGAATCACGATTTTTATTATTTCAATTAATTGAAGGAAGCAGATTGGTATCAATCAACCCACCAATTCATGAAAAAAAAATTCCGGAATAAATTAGGGTAAAATTGGGGTAGCCGAAGAAGAAGAATGGAAAGTCGAATCGCAGTACCTGGATTTATTTCCTTCCGTGAAAATCCAACGCAGCGAGGAATCGAATCAAATTATTTTTCTAGCGTGAAGATCCAATTTTTTTACTTTCCTTCCGCGAAGAACGCGAAGAAGAAGGTCGAGGGAAAGACTGCCTGGGAAGAGCTTCCGCTAATAATTGGACGCTTGTCATCGGAGGTGGAAGCAAAAAGAAAAGAAAAAGAAAAGGTGTAGTGGCATGGATTTGGATGTAAAACATGCACATGAGTGGTTTTGTTTCTATCTCTTTGGATTGGTACAAATGCATTGTATCTCCTCGGTACATTACACATAGTTGAGTGAGTATATATATTATTTTGAAGCTTAAGGGAATTGAGTTGCTTTAAAAGGAGTGAGACTCAACCTAGATGTGTGTGTGGGTTTTACACACCACCAAAGTAGAGAGAGAAATATGGGAAGAATTCTACACAAGAATACCACCGGGAAAATCCAAGGGATCTTGGTGAGTGTGTGTGAGTGTAGGGAATAACTGGTTTTAGTTACTCGGAAAAAATACATTCGGGCATAGGATGTGGAAAGATATGTTTATGAGTGTCTGGATTTAGCCTTGTAAGCAGGAAGAGAGTTTTTTGTATATTGTCCTGAAATAGTGGAAATATAATTTTTTTTCTCTCATATATTCTTCTTGTGTTTGTTCTCCCATTTTTCCGGTGTTACGCGCTTAAAATCCCAACACCAACATCTATCATTTCTATGTATGGTGTGTTTGGTTGGGAGAAAATTATCTTTCCAAGAAATTTTGATTCTATTTTTTCGCGTTTGAAGACATTACTGATTAGTGAAGGAAAATTATTCCAGGAAAAATATTTTCTTTTAACGGGGAAGTAATTTCCGTTAGAAATCGAAAGAAAATTTTCACTCTTTCTGCTCCATCCCCCACACACGCCCCCACCTCATACCCATTAATTGACTTTTCAGTTTTAAATTTTAGATTTTAATTGTTGATTTTAAGTTTAAATATTTAGAGTTTTAGGATTTAAAATTTAAAATTTCATTTTTCAAATTATAAATTTTAAGATTTTAAATTTTCAAATTAAGAACATTTTTACTTTTTTATTTTAAACTATTTATTTTTTTAGTTTTTAAACTTGGAATTTTATGTTTTTAAACCTAAAATTTTAAAATTTTGAAACTTTAATTTTATTTTATTTTTATTTTTTATTTTTCTAATTTTTAATTTCTAGTTTCTAAATTTTAATTTTTTGTTTAAATTTTAAAATTTATGCTTTAAATCTTTAAGACTTAAGTCTATTAGGCATGTGTATATAAAGCATGTTTCATTGTTATGCCTCAAAAAGGATGAACTTGGTTCCAATTTGACTCACAGGATTCAAATTATTGAATTCAAATTCTTATCCTATGTAATAGAATTTAAAATCTAAAATTGATAAGTTTAGAATGTTAGTTCTTAAATATGAATAAATGAAATGATTTTTTAAGAAAATATTTTCTTTTTGACCAAACAATAGAAAATACGATTGAAAAGTAATTTTTCTTAGAAATGATTTTCCTTTGAAACAAATTCTTCAAGGAAAATATTATACCCTCAACCAAAAACAACCTTAGTACGAATATTATTTCCTACACGTATTTTCTTTTTATTATTCAAACAGCAATGGACATGTATTATTTCTATTTTGTACGAACATTATTTCCTACCCGTATTTTTGAATTATTCATACCCGAACCGAACTTGGCCTGTCTCCATCCATTCCCACCACCCTAAGAGCATAAAAAAATTTTGGTATAAAAAGAATAGCATAAAAAAACTCATAAACGACTTGTGCACTTCAATCCACGGGAACTTCAAAGATTCCATAACAATATAACATTCAGTTAAAAATATACTCCATTATCATTTCTAACAAAGCAAAAAAATAAAAATAAAAATAAAGAACTCATCCAGCATGTATATAGAATAGGTAACTTTGCACTAAAATCAACACTACTTAGGATGGTGAAATTACTGCAAAAAAATGGGTTTCTCCTTCCATTTCTTCGACTCCGACATTTTCCTTGCTGTTAAAAGATGTAGTCACCACAAAACTAAACTGTTATGCGGAATTCGAGAATAACAGATTTATAAACGAGAAAAACACGACAACAGATTTAACGTGGTTCACCAACGTTGTGTTGGCTAGTCCACGGGAAGAGGGGAAGCAGTTTTATTTCGGATGGAGAGGCAAAAACAGAATACAACATAGGGTTTGTAGTAACACCCATATAAATCTTGCTTGGCTAAACCCTAACAGACTTGAGCCCCAAACTACAGAATTAACAGATAATTAGAAGCCCAATTAGAAAGGGATTCGGTCATCTCAGGATTCGGATTTCTCGACTTCTCCGGAATTCGGATTTCTCGACTTCTCCGGAATTCGGATTTCACGGAAGTCGGACTTCTTCGGATCCGGACCTCTCCAGATCCGGAGCTGTAACGGGTTAGATTCAAGGCATTACAACATAAACTGTAAAAAATGAAAAAATAGATATATTCCCTCTATCCATTTGTTTGTATTTGTAGATGCTAGTTAAGAATAGCAACTATGAAAATTGAATGAATACTATGGTCTCAATTGTGAAGGATAGCAATAACAAATGCCACAATTTTGAAGAGTGAAATGTGAAACATGACTACTACTCCATAATGTTAATAGCACATTTGTATAGTTTTGTGAATTATTAGTGTGTTTTTCTAAACATAATAGAAGTCATCAAAAATAGTCACTCGTATATTTTTAGATTTAACTAAATTTAAAATGCCTAACTTGTTTAGGACACTTTTTTTAATTTTTAAAGAACATTAAATATGATGAAATTTTTAATCTTTTTTTCTCAAATTGGACTCTTTTTCGGGATGGACACAGATTTATACATTGTAACATATTTACATATCTCAATCTTTATATACTTACCCAATTCCATTTGGTAGACTCGTTCATTGCTTCTTTAATGCGTTCATTCTATCCCGGAGATAGAACAGATTTGCCCTTCTCACCTTCTTCTTGTCCACCACCTTTACTTCCTTTATATTGGGTGAGTATCTGAATCAATAAAAAAACATGAAACAATAAGACTTGGCCACAAACTTTACCAGGGTAGCTTTACATTACAACATTCCACAGCCGTTGGTAATTAACCAAGGCGGGCTGGCACTGACATGACACATTTAACCGGGTAAAGTCAATGATTAAAGGCATTGAGAGTGCTATAGCCTCGATCTTTTCAAGTAAAAGAAGCTAATTTTGTTATATTTACACTATGTTTGGTTCAAGGATTTTAAAATAAAAAAGAAAAGAAAATGAGAAAGAAAACAATTTTTTATGTTTGGATAGAGAGGAAAAGGAAAGAAAAGTGGAAGGAAAAGGAAATGAGAAGAAAAAATATACTAAGAGGATGGAAAATTAAATTCCTTCCATTTTGGTGAGGAAAATGAGAGAAACTCAAGGAAAAAAATATTCAAGAGGATGGAAAATCAAATTCCTTACATATTGGTTTATGTAATAGTATCAAATAGATAGTTTGGATTTAGTTGTAGTGCGATAAAAACATTCTTGCAACATGAATGAATGTGACAAGAAGGCTTTTTATGAATCCAAGAATTTTGTTGCACACTTTTTATAAAAAAAAGCTGATTTTTGTAATAATGTACGGAGTATTAGTCTTACTTTTGTTTTTTTCAATTAAGAAGTTTTTCATTCATAGTATTTTCACTAATTTTTTTTCAATTATACAAAAATAAAAGACGCCAACTTTTATCACTGGTATACCCAACCCGATACTGAGACTCCATGTGCCCAAATCTAGAATTAAACTTCAAGATGCATCGAGTAAATAGGTACGGATTAGGATCAATTTTTTTAAAAAGAGTATGATCCAGAGTATAGAACATGCACTATAGGCCTATTTGTGACTTTGTAATTAACTCCGTACTTTAGGTAGATTAATAAGTGATTTGAACCGTTATCAAAGATAACAATTTGTTTTTCTTTTATTCTTTTTTCAAAATATTGACTCGTATTTGGCCTATTATTCTACCACTGGCGTAACTGAATGCGTAACTGAAAAAAAAGAGAATGTCTCATATTAAACATTTTATTTTTTGTCCAAAAAAAGTTTTTATTGGTTCATTTTCATGATACGAATATCAATGAAACATTCTCTTTTTTCACTGAAGCTCATTTTCTCTTTTTCTGTTCATTAATTTTATATTATTTCTTTTATTTTAATCAAAATTAAAATAAAAAAAATAATAGAAAAGAAATCAAATAAAGAAAAGGAAAAGAATATGAAAAGAATACTCTTATAGAATAGGGAAAATTAAGTCATGAAGGAAATCTTTTGCACATTGCTCTAAAATTGTTATTAATATATAATTAACTATATTCTAAAATTCTAAAAACATGTTACTCAATATTCTTTTGGTCCTGACATATTCAAAAAGATAAAAACATTTCTAGACAAAAAAACAAAAATATTTAATTTGGTAAATGAAGTATATGCTAATTTTTTTATTTCAAACACAAATATTTTTTATTTTTTTTAAAATGTAGGTTTGAAAAAGTAAATTTTCATAATTTCACACACAAATTTTTTCCTTCTCTTTATGAAAAAAGGAAAACAATAAAGAAAAAGGAGAGGGGCGTTACGTTGGTGCCCATTTCCAAAACCATAGGGGTAGCGAAGTTATTCATCTAATATTTGAAGGATATTCTTGTCTAGAGAGCTTTGGCGTAGCAATATCAGAACCATGAGAGACAATGACATAAGTTTTGAAATCATGGAGAGTAACTGTATATATTTACCAAACCACAGGGAGTGTTGAATTGGTGAAATAAGCTCTCCAAATTTATTTCAAAGTGTTCGAAAAGGAAAGTGATGGAAATGGGGGTCGGGGTACGTACCCAGGCCCAAACATACGCGATGGGCTCATCAAGGTTTGCACTCGGTTAAGAAGCGGGATGCTCGGCTAGGAGGCACACCCTCGACCATGCCCTGAGTAAACCCACTATGGCCTAGTTCGGAGTCACCTCCGGCTCGGCCTATCATAGTCAACTCCTGGCGACTCGCGAAGACGTGCGGTCATATATAAACTTTTTTGTTACACACCGAACGCTTAAACAAAATAATTTAAAATTGAGAGGAAGGAACCTAGAATTTGAGAATTCATGGAAGAAAGGTTTCCTTTGGGAGGAAAGAGTATATTATTTTTTTTTTTGAATGTTTTTCACTCATTTACAAGGTACTATTTCTTGATACGATTTTCAACCAATGACGCACAAAGAGTTAATGTTTTTGTCTCCACTGACAGTGGCGGATCCAGGATTTTATTTTACTGGGGGCACATGACTTTTAGAGTCAAAAGTATAAAACACTTTGACAATAAAATTCAAAACGAATATATTGAAAATATAACAATTTTAATATCATTTTTTTTCGTTCTGATTTACAATTTTGAAATGTTATACTCTCTCCGTCCCCCATAGATCTTCCCAATAGTCCTTTTTCTTTGTCCACAATAGATATTCTCATTTCATTTTTTAACAATTAAAATACCACAACTACCCCCACTTACTTTATTTATTACACCTCACCCATCTCATTTAATACACTCCACCCATTTTTCATTAAGGGTATTATGGTAAACTTTCACCTTTTTTCAACTCTCCTTAAAAACCACCAAAAGTCAAAATGAGAACATCTTAGAGGGACGGAGGGAGTATTTTATTTAAAAATTAAAGTATAAATTTTAAATAAAAATATTAATGGTTAAAGTGTCACATTCAAGTGAGGGCACTATTTTGGGGCAAAGAAAGTAGAACCAAATAAGCCACACTGTGACACTCATGTTTTTATCTCTAAAAAAATCTATAATGTTAACATATAGGGTCATGCTACACTTACACCACATATTGTACCCCATTTGTACACCGCAGGCATACACAAACATTTTGATGGTTTGCACCGACACAAGTGTTGGTGCGTTAACAAAAATTTACACGGACACAAAGTGTTTGTGCATTAACAAAAATTGGTTTTACACCAATACAAAGTGTTGGTGCAAACCTGCGGGGTACAAAATTATGGGGTACAAGTAGCTTTATCCTAACATATACTACCTCCGTCCAGAAGTATTTTTCTAATTTTGACTTTTTTCAGTCAATCGTTTTCAATCTTTGACATATAATTAAATATAATATGTATTGTATATTACTCCGTAATTAGATAAAATAATATTTTGAAAATATCTTATATAATAAATCTAATAAAACTATTTTTGTATCAATATCTAATACCATTTTTATTTAATTTGGGATTAAAGTTTACAATTTTGATAAAAAAAATAAAAAATAGACAAATACTTCGAGACGGAGGGAGTAATATCAAAAAATTAATACATTATACAATGTAAATTTGAAGTACCAAAATGTTACGGAGTATATTGCAATTATCTTATTTGGAAGATAAATAGGCGAACTGGCCAGAGCAAAAGAACCTTAGAGCATTCACAAGGCAAGGCAATATCTTGCCTTGCCATGCCATGTCAGCAAATTCCACTCAAATCATGGCATTCCATTGTCATTCCACCCCACTTTTCATTCCATGTGCAAGGCATGACTCTCTCATTTTTTATTTTTTTTAATATTTTTAATTTTTGTAATTTTTGAAAAAAATATTTTTTTAAAAGAAGTAAACATATTTTAATAATAAAATAGATTTTTAAAATAATTTTTTATAATTAAAAATCATTAAAAAGTGCAAAAATAGACAAAAATAATGACTTGCCACTGTATATTACGACACTCCACTCATTTGTCACACAGTGACTGGATTACTTTTTATTGCTTGAAATAATCTATGTCACTGTGTGACATTTTATTTTTACCTTGCCATTGTCAATGCTCTTAGCTAAAGGCCACTTGGATGTGGATCGGAGAAATAAAAAGATAGAAACGAGAGGTCAAAATAAAATGATTACGGAGTGCTATTTATTTTTACCTTGTCATTGTCAATGCTCTTGGCAATTAGTCAATTAAAGCATTAGGCTAGCGCTGGGCTGGCTCTTGGAAAAGTAAATCCTTTGATAATTTTAGTGGGGGCATATGGATTTTTCCACTGGGGGCAGCCCTTTTATGGCAACCCATTTTTTTCGTTTTATCTTAGTTCGAAATGTAAAACTTGAATAGTTGACTAGGGGCATGAATTGGGCTTCCTACCACTCACGCCAGGGACGAAAAGAATATTAATTAATACTCCTTTTAAAGAAAGGGTACGTAGTAACAATTCAAGATGCACCATCTATCTATTTGTGTATTTCAATATGAGGAGTAATTTTTTTACTCCCTAATTGTTTGAAAAGGTTTGTGACTTTGTAATTAACTCCGCACTTTAGGTAGATTATTAACAAGTGATTTGAACCGTGATCAAAGATGGAAAGTTGTTTTTTTTACCGCTGGCGTAACTGACCGCCTATAAATGAAACGCAAAATCATTAACTAATTAGACAGTACCAATAATCAAACTTAGCTGATTCTCTTTAATTAGTTAATTAATCACCGCATTAATTAATTCTTCTGACAGAAAATGGGCGACGAATATTGTAGCGACATCTGCTGTGCTTTCCTATGGCCCCCTGGGGTTGTCGCAGAGCTCTATAAAAGCAAGGTACCCCCTCCTTCCTTTGATCTCTATATAAAATGGGAAATGCTAGGGGTACCCCATTTGGGGTACTCCATTTTGTACACCATTCATCCAAGCCATTCATTTATTTTTTTTATTTTTAATTTTTTTTCTCTCTCTTGCTTTGTGTGGTGGAGATGGAGGGGGGTACACCAAAAATGTACCTCAAATTGTACCCCAAAAAAATACTACCTCCGTCCCAGAGTATTTGTCCACTTTCATTTTTACACACCATCCAATACACTTCTTTAATCCATTTTATCTTGTAATTTGTATATTAAAAAATTATAGAAATTATATATTAATAATCTATATGTTAAGACAAATCAAACAAGATCACACATGACTATATTTAGGCTTACAC